ATTGATGAATACGGTTCATCCCTTATCTTTGGATACTTGTGATATTTGAATGATGAATACGGTTCATCCCTTGCTTCGCCGATGTTATGATACTTGAATGATGAATACGGTTCATCCCTTGCTTCGCCGATGTTATGATACTTGACCGATGAATACGGTTCATCCCTTGTTTTGCCTATGTCAGTAAATATCTTTGGATACTGTAATATTTGATTGATGAATACGGTTCATCCCCCGCCTTGCTAAAGTTTTGATGAGTTTTGTTTTGAAGGACCTCGGCTTTATTCATGCAAAACCTTTATTATTAGTACCATTCACTGAGTATTTGTACTCACCCCTCTATATATATGTAGGTGATGAGCAGGACGGCGGCGACGCCTAGATCGTTTTGGATGCTTGTTTTGGATTCGTACTTATGTCGGCTTTGCTTTTGTATTTACGTCGGCGATGCCCTGCTTCGCATGTCGGCAAATCTTGAAAATCATGCTTCTTGACTTGTATTAGCTATACTTTTGTTTATGTCGGCTCGAGAAGCCTTTTGATCAAGATGTAACATATATTTTACGCTGTTGTATTCAAGTTGTTAAGTTAATTGGAAATATTTGGCATTGCTTTGATCTACGCACAGCTCTTATGGACCACTTGTATTTGATTTATCGCTTCCGCATTTGTGAGCCCCCTATATCCATACTCTGATTGTGTTAAGTTTTGAAAAGTTGGCCTTTGGTAATTACGGATTACTGGCCATCACGGCACCAAACTACTAGGGGCGGTTTGGGGTCGTGACATGTCATATACCAAATAATGAGAAATCGAAGATTCAGGGTCTATTTAGATCTTGCTGTGAATCTATGATTGACTGAAAAGGGGAAATGACTAAAAATTATTTTTCAAGTGGAATCATTTCTGTTATAGAAATGTGAATGGTGTATGAAACTATCTAAAAATTGTGAAAACATCTCTAAAAATTGTGAAAACATCTCTAAAAATTGTGAATATTGTATGCAATATTGTATGTTATAGATTCATTTTTTTATTTTTTGGTCATATCCCAAATAATCAGAAACTGAAGATTTAGGTCTATTTAGATCTCATTGTGAATCTGTCATGGACAGAAAGTGGAAAAATGACTCAAAATGCTTTTCCAAGTTGCTTCATTTCCGTTATAGAAAGATTGTGCCATTTCTTGATCATTTGTTTCTAAACATAATTCTCTTTGTTGTTCAACGAAGCTTTAGAATTAAATTCATGTATTGTTATTTATTTTTAGAATCAATTGTATACTCTAAAATAGTGTTTTTGTGGATACAATTGTTTAACATTGCTACTGGTTTTGTACCAGGGGGAAAAGATTGTCGTCGTTGCTGGTACCATTACTGATGACATTAGGGCCCATGAAGTTCCTGCCTTGAAGGTGACTGCACTGAGGTTCACAGAGACAGCGAGAGCAAGGATTGAGAAGGCCGGTGGTGAGTGCCTGACATTTGATCAGCTGGCCCTCAGAGCTCCACTTGGGCAGAACACGGTATGCAATTTAATTATACTTGTTTTATGCTTGCGCAATTTGGATTAGATCATGTATTTTGATTAGATAATGTGTTTAGAATGGATTTTCTTATCAACTCACACAGCTATTTGTGAATGGATTTAGAATGGATTAGATCATGTATTTTGATTATATATGTAGTGCATTTATGACTTTCGTTGTGGTCCAAAAGAGCCTTCACGTTTATAATAGACCAACACAGGTGAAACAAAAGTATGATTTCATACTTGATGATGCAGAGCCCAAATTCAACTTTGTTTTGTTTTGGTCGAGTAGTATTAACCCAAGATGTGGTTTTGGCAACAAATATATAAGGTACAGTAGGACCTTTAGCCCACAAAAGAAATAAAAAAAAGAAAACGACATCAGGAAAGGTTGTTTTGATGAAATAAAATCATTATTATTTTTTCCTACTTATCCAAACAAGAGGATTTCAAAAACAAATTTTGAGTTTTCAACGTATATTTTTTTGTATTTATTATTTTTCAAAAAAGTTTCTTCACAAATATTTTAAATTTTAAGTACATCTAAATTAGATGTATCTAAAAATAAAAAATAAAAATTGACCAAATATTAAAAAATTTACGAAAAACAAAAAAATACCAATTGAAAACTCAAAACCAGTTTTTGAAAAACTCAAAACCAAACAAAGTAATTTTTTATTTTTTTTCTCTTTCAACTTAAGAAATTCTTTCAAATCTCCCCTTATTTCCACAAAAAAAATTTTAAAAAAAATTAAAAAAACAAGGCCTATAGAAGATTGGTTGGAATTGTTGCAAGCATATGGAGAACACGCTTGTGCATGACAATTTACTTGGTATTGCAGCATTGTACGACTTTGGGAAGAAAATGATCTCTCACAATTATTACAATTCAGAATGGGGTCCATTTTTCACATATGAATGGAATTGGAATGATGCAGATGCAACTTAAATAAGTTAATGTTTCATGATATGGAAATTATGTGACATTATTTATATGATGTTTTTAATTAATCACGTAAATTGTGTTTAGATTATGAAAAAAGTGAGACAAATGGAAATAAAATATATATTTTTCTATTGTCCTTTACTTTTTCCAAACATAAGCATAGTGAAAAATTTTACGGGATAGTACAATGTTTATTCATTTTTATTAAATTGGTGAGAAATAACGAACTACTCGCCTAACTTATTATAAAGTTCATGGCATTGAAAACAAAATAACAGAATAAATTTTTTTTGGGAACTCACCTGAAATAACTTCAGTTAATGGCCTTTCTGGGGGAAAAAATGGGGAAGAAAACAATTAGAGAATGGTCACAAAGATTACTATTGGATTCTCTACGATTCGATGTCTGCTGAATATGACTATATACAGTGGTAACCCAGTCATAATGTGAATGATTTCAATTCTGGATTTCATATTGAGACTTAAAGTTGTCTTGGAGGCAAAAAGTGTGTATTTGTCTGCATATGTTTTATCACTAGGCTACAAAATAGACTCATCTTCTGCACAATTATTTTCAGCTTGACCGTTTTCTCCTTTTTTAGGATTTTGTGTGGCTAATATGTGTTATTTCACTCTGGTGTTTGCTGCGATATCAACAGGTAAATATTCGGACAAGGTTGATGAACAATGGAAGAGAGAGCCTAATTCCATTATGCTTGTTGACAAGAATGCACCAAATGAAGAAGTTTGGTTACGGGTAACTTACTTTTTAGTTGATTTATCATACTGGACTGCATGAATCCTTTCCAGTGCATTGTCGAGTCAAATGAGAGCTTGATAAGAAGTAAAGGGAACAGTGACACTCCTGCTTGGTTTGTAAACATATATGCATCTGACATTGGGAACAAGTGATTTGGGATAGATAAAGAGTTGAAACCCACAATTCTTAAGTCATGGCTGCACTATGATTGTATGCATGTCTAGAGAGCTAAGCATTTTGTACAAAGGTAGAAATATGGTAGCGTGATTTTGGTTGACTGACTTTGGGATAATAATAGGTATTACCATTCAAAAGTCTAAATAGGCATTCCATCTCGTGTCTTTTCCTAGGTAGTCTACCTCTTTCCCTTTTTAAGCTGTCATAATGTGAGATTATAAGCAGTTTGAAGCCTAAGCTTACTTTGTTCCTGTGTGACACACTGACAGATGCTCTGAACTTTTATACATTCATCTAATGGTGTAGAAATTGATACACAAGAAGTATTTATTGGGACAGGCAAAGAGCATGAGGTAGGCCTGTCTGTGGGAGCTGCATTAGTGTCCATTTCTCATAACACAACCGAATTTACATGAGGAATGGACCAGGGACTTTCTGTGTGCTGAAATTTGTGGAGCTTGATGTTCAATTAAAGCTAGCAGAGGCTTATTGGGAATTTCTCTATCTTCAGGTATTGTTCATAGGTTCTCTAGCACCCTCTCTGTATGAATAAAGTTTATAGTTAGTACCCGTTCCTTTTTTTTCAATGGGTCTTGCTAACAAGTGGCCCTAGGGCACAAGAAAAAGACAACAAGTGGGTTGATCCTGGCAGACGCTCGTCACAAGATTCAAGCACTTTTTATTGATTTCAAAACACATTTTCATCACATTGGCACTTGTTAGCATTTGCCTTTATTAATTAATGGAATTTTAGATCGTTTATGATACGATTTTAAGAATTACTGTCTTTGCAGATTAGATTAAGTCAAATGATTTGATATTCTCCTCGTTAGAAGATATTTTCTTGAAACCTTTTTCATGCATTTCTGCAACAAAAAAGAAAAAAAGAAAAGAAAAAGAAGGCGTAGTTATTTATGTTATGGAGAATAGTGTTGTAATCATGTCATTGTAAGTTAAAAATGTTGTCAAGGTTGACTAGCTGTACAAACTATATATTATGCAGCTATGTTAATGTCTTGTTTGTATAAAAAAAATTTCTTGTTTTTAATGTGAAAGCAGTCACCAGTGTACATGATGAGAAAGATTGGAAGAGTCCACTGTGCTACATTAGAATTCTTCTTGGCCTTTAATTTGTTAACTTTCTAGTGGACAAGCAATGGAGATGCTGAAGGGTTAAGATTGGATCGCAAGATTCTTCAATCCATTTTGGGGCATTTTAGGGGCATTGATAAAGCGGTGCCTGGTATGCATTTGTGACTTCTTGTCTTTTATTCTTCTCCGCTTTCATCATATTGTGAATGTTGTAAAATAGCCATTGAGAAATTTTGTCCTGTCTAGCTATCAAAAGTGATTATTATTTGAAAGCAAAGTTTTGTATTCAGCTCTTTGTAATTTTTTCTTTGCCTGTTGGAGAGATGCAACTGAGTGAGTAGAGGATATACAGATTTTTCAGTTTCATGATATTTGATTAATTGGAATTGAATTTTGTTGATATATTATTATTATTTTTTTTTTCTGCAAGCTGTGGTTTCACAGATTTTCAATTATATGGCAGCATTGATTAGTCAATATACATGTGATCGTTTTAAGTGAATTCTTGGGAGAGAATCAAATGGCACTAGGTGCCACTGAGAATTGATTACTGTTGGCCATTACTTTTTCTTCTTTCTACCTGTGTTCTCTTCACATCTTACTGTTTATTCAAATGTTTTTTATTCAATCAAAACTAGGAAGTAAGGTAGCAGTTGATGGTAATGCTTGCAGTTCATTATTGAGAAATGCAGATGACAATGGAACAAGTAGTTTTTAGTACCCCTGGAAGTTCAAATTCCAAGTTGTGCGATGAAACCAATACATTAACATTTATGAATGATTGCTTCTCTTGGCATAGTCTATTTAGTCTGTTGGCATAGTCTGTTGGCATATGTCCAGTCTTGCTTCTCTTGAATTCACACACATTGGCAGACTATTGACTGTTGCTTAAGCAGGTATTTGGTGCTCTAAGGACAACAATTTTCATATTAGGAATGATTTCTGTATTCATAGGCATTTCTTTGCTGGCACCAGACGAGGCAAAAGGTATAGTTGTGGGTTATGGATATAGTTGTGGATCATGATTTCTGTATTCATAGGCATTTCTTTCCATTAGAGCTATTAGAACTCCAATATTAGAGCTCTAAAGCATTTATATCGTCTCCCTCTCATCTTTCCTAACAACCATAGATCATAAATTATTGCACAAAAAATACAAAAAATAAAATAAAAAATTAATTTTTAGTGGACACCTTGTTTTTTTTATTTTTTCGTAAATTTTTTTTTGTTACACCTGATTAACTACCATATATAAAGTTAATTGTAATCACATATTAGTATTCTTCTCACAATTCTTTATGATGGACCCTCTACATGTGAGTTCCTACAAAATAAATTTGTGTATTCTACAATCCAAGAGCAAGTTTTATATAATCGTTGCTCATGCATGAATTTACAACATATAGGATATATTTGATGAGATCACATTGTTAGTTTAGTGCCTTAGAGCTGAATGATACATGAAACTAAGTATACCTTAATCTATAGTTGAATGATAATAATTGATGATGATGTGATAGTGAAATATTGTTTTACACTATTTTGGACTACATTGAATTCCATTATTATTATTATTTTTTTTTGTGAGCAGGGAAAGCTTTGGTTTCTCCAATTGAGAGATATGTAGTTGTTCCTGATGACAACGTAAGTGTTCTTTCCACAGTCTTCATTGTCTTCATTACTGGTGTTTAAATAGTTGGTTTTTCCAAAAGATTCTAATTTGCAACTGTTATCTATTTATTTGTAGGTCAAAAGGATAAATTTTGCCGAGGGGAAGATCTGATTCTAGAAGTAGGAATTTCCAGCTTGATTTTTTAAATAGGCTCAAAATTGAGATCTTGTTGGAAATTTTTTATTTTATTTTATTTTTTGTAAGAGCATTTAAATATCCAATGTGTTGATTGGTGAATTTTAGATTTTATTTTATTATTTTATTTTTTTTAGGATTTGGGTGAATTTTATAATTTAAATATGCTTTTATGAACGTGTACAGTTTAATTATTCTTTGTAAAATATTGAATTTGATGGTTTGATCAATTTTTATTTTTATTTTCTGTTATGATGTTTTTGTGAATGGAATGTAAATAATCAGCTCTTAGAGAGTGAGAGACGGCACCACCGTCGGAAAAAATAGAAATTTTTAATATTTTTATTAATTTTGTTATAGGTTTTATTTTTTGCGACGACATTATACTGTCGCAAAATTATACTGTCGCAAAAAATAGAAATTTTATTATTTAAAATAAAAATTTTATTATTTTTTAATATTTTTTGCGACGGCATTACACTGTCGCAAAAAATAAAAAATATCATATTTTTTTTTATACTTTTTGCGACGGCACCACACCGTCGCAAAAATAGTGTTTTTTTTTTTAAAGAAAATGACTATTAGCGACGGTATTTTTTGCCGTCTTAAATAACATTTTTAGCGACGGTAAAATAAGGCCGTCGCAAAAAAGTTAAGAAATTTCAAACGTTATTAGCGACTGTACGGTGCCGTCACAAAAAGGTAAAAAATGTCGTCGCAAAACATTAGTGACGGCACTTACCGTCGCAAAAACTCTTTTGCAACCCCTGCAGTTGCGACCCCTCTCTTGCCGTCGCAAAAAGTGATTTTGCCGTCGCAAAAAGTATTAGCGACGGCATTAGGAGTATTAGCGACGGTATTTTACCGTCGCAAAAAGTCAATTTTTTTGTAGTGTGCAACAATACATTAATCCAACAATAAGTACATAAACAAATAAATACGCCCAAAGGTTTACAAGTTTCCAAGGCTCGAGACTGGTTACATAAAGCAGTTATTCAAACCCACACAAACATAGCTCTTGGCTTACACACAGAGTCATAGTAAAATGAGAGCATTGTACTCCCAACACACATACTTTCACGTCCCTAGTTGGGTGGGATCACCACATCTTTTCCTGCACAAAAATCCCGTAGGGTAAGCATAAAGCCCAGTAGGAAGTTCTTCACAAAGTATATACATTTTATACAAGTCTCAAGAGATGAAATACACATGCCATGTTATACCCTCTTTGAAGATAACTCACATTTTTATCTTTTGAAAGCCATCATGCTCAATGATAACATGCAATTTTAATTGTTCAAAACTTAACAATTTATTTCAAGGGTGGTAAATACGACTTTGGTAATCCCTAGGTCGGTGTCTGCAAGTAAACTATACAAGTACTATCAAATTGTCATTTTTACCGGTATTAACCGGAAGGCTCGACACCTATCCGCGCGGGTTTTCTGTCTTTCACCCCGGACTATCAGGCCAACATATTCAATATCATCTACACTACCTATCAAGACTTACCAACATATTTATCCCAAAACCATTCCATGAAAACTTGTTTCTTAACATTCTTTTCTCAATTCAAGTTTTCAAATAAACTTACAAAGTTTAATATAATTAAATGAATTGATATGCCAATTTTACAAGATAAATATAAATACTTTTATTCCTATTCATCATCCAAGGAATAACACAATTCCCTCTTCTCAAGTATCCTCGACAATTAGTTATTTCAAGACTATTTCAACGTTTTGAACAATAATTTCCAAAATGAACAACAATTCTCATATTTCCTGAAATTCATCATTTATATAAATATAAATAAGAAATTTTCCAAACATCCATTTGTTTTGACACACAAAATAAATATAACAATATCATTCATAGATTTTCAGTTTCCTTTAAAAATTTTTTTCCAAATTCTAGGTTTTCTCACAAAAACTACACAATTCAAATCTTTTGAGAGAAAACTTTCCAAAATTATATTTTCTTCAATCAACAAAGATCAAAACCCATAAGATCATTTTAAAAGAATAAGAGACAAATCTACTTTCAAAATCGCTCAACTTCTTGAATCAACAATCAATTTTCAAAGCTATCGAAAGATGATTTCGAAAATCATATAGATCTTGCAAAAATATATATATAACTCTAAGAAAATCCCTACCTCAAGTTTTGAAGAAGAAATGAGATGGAACCCCCAAAATCAACGGTGTCGAAACTCGATCTTCACCGCACATAACGAAGCCCTCGAGAAGTTAACCAACTTTGATGAAAAACTTATGGCAGAACTCTAATGGATCTTGAGAAATCAAGGTTTTGATCCAATTTGGTATAGGGAAATATAGAGAGAAGGGAGAGGAAATAGTTTTTAGAGAGAGAAAGATATACAAAAGTGATCTGAAATATCAGATTCACGAGCTGATATAACATGGTCTGCTCGAGCGTAGAAAGTCCCGCTCGAGCGTCAAATACACTTTCCTAGTACTTTTGCAGACAGGTTAAACTTCTAAAACCAAACATTCTCCGCTCGAGTGCATAAACGGCCGCTCGAGCAGCCAAGCAACTTCTAATGCATTTTACATTTTTGCTTCGGGGGCACTGCCCATCAACCCCGCCAAGGTGCTGCCCTAGGACCTGCCAAGAGGCGCTACCCCCTAGACCCCCGCGAGCTAACCGGGCAGCTCGATCCCGGCCAGGGCGCTACATTTGGACCCACTAAGGGACGCTGCCCCCTAAACCCCTGCGAGCTGATTGGGCAGCTCGATCCCTGACATACTCAGTGAAGTGGCAAAGCTGGGGTCGCTACAACCTTCCCCTCTTAAAGAATTTTGTCCCCAAAATTTCAAATCAAACTATCCAAACAAGGGGTTTATAGTGATCAAAACCACGCTATTTCATTTTCAAATCACAATTCTAACTTTCAACCAAATTCCACCATTTCCACTATGGTTATCTCATTAACAACAACCTCCCAAATACACATAAACATGAAATTTTCCAAAAAGTAATGGAAACTCTAAACAACCTTATGCTTAAAACAACAACGCACATATCAACATGTGGTTAACAACTTTAAATACGTTTCCCTCAACATTAGGAATTTTACAAAGAAAAGTAACTTAACCATTTTCAAATAAATTCGGATATTTGGAGCGGACTTCCGCCTCCCATTCCCACGTTGCTTCTTCAAGCCCATAGTGTCTCCACAACACCTTTACCAACGGTATAGTTTTGCCCTGTAGCACTTGCTCTCGAGTATGTAATATTTGAACCGGTCGTTCTTCGTAAGAGGCATCCTCATCTACCTCTAGGGATGGCAATGGGGGGCAATGAGGTGAATATTAATTCTCCATCCCCATTCCCCTATAATAAATTTTTCCCATTCCCCATTCCCCATTCCCCATTCCCTATTCCCCATGGATACCACCCTCCCCATTTCTTAATGGGTATGGATTTCCCCTCACCCACTTTAATCCCCATTTTTATTTTTTATATTTAATTTTAACAACCATTTTTTTTTTTTAAGGTTCACAACAAAAACTAAATATACCTTCAATCTTTTTTCTTTCTTTTTTAATATATTTAATGTTAACAATTTTTTTATTTTTTATTTTTATTTTTTTTAAGG